AAGGACATATCATTGAATACTCAAGGAAAAACAATACGAAAATCGCTTGCACTCAGATAATACAAAACTATATTCTTTCTTCTGAAAATAAATAGAGTAAACTTAATGTTATGTAATATAATCAAGATAAAGTAAATTTTACAAGATTTTCCTTATAAAATCCCACTTAACGCAAGAATCAATTAACGTGCTTTGTAAACTTTCTTTATCCCACTGATGTACATCAATTGAAAACATTTAAAATTCGTCCAAAAGAAATATATTTATAAATGAAATTATTATATCAACATTAAACACAGATTATCCCCGCTTAAAACTGGCTAAGGTGGCATAAATTGAATGAAATCTGCCACGTTTAAAAACGTCGTTAACTGGTTTTCAGCTTAGTTTGCTACATAGTCGTTAACTTGCTCTCTGAATTTTAACCAGCCCTTACGGGGGAACGTCGGCTGACTCATTATTCTTCACTTTCCAGAGTGCATGGTAATGTGTGAGAACGTTAAAATTTCTGCGCTCCGTGCAATTCGTGCGGTTAACATTAGCTTATATTGCAGGGCGAAATATCTAGCAGCGGTCCATAGTGAGATCGGACGAGTGAATCCGACCGCAGTGCAAATTAAAACTCAACTTAATGACTTTATAGTCAAGCGTTCCCCAGGGAGATGTGTTTCTCCCCATCACCTAATTATCTTATCGTTTGCACGTGCACACTTGTTATGTGTGCGTAAACTATGAGTGATGACTGGCGGTGGAACGTTTGGCGTCTTAAACCCTGACTAACCCACGTCTGTCTACCGTTTTATCTTATGGTAAGAGTACAATAAAACTGAAGGATCAGGCGAGAAATATCTGACCAACGAAGTTTTCACAATTTAGGAATTTCAATTTAAGTTTTCACAGTTTAGGAAACTAAACAACAACGTCATAAAAAAATTGTAAAAAAACTGGAAACATTTTCATGTTTTTTTTATTAACGCCTAAGAATTCTGTTTGAATTGTCCTGTTACATTTAAATTGTTTTTGTCGATATATCTGATTTAGTCTCTTATTGGAATCCCAAGTATGCTTATAATTAAGCAAACTTTTTTGTGTGTTTTATTACGTCAATATAGAAAAAACGTATTATATTTAAACTAGCTGCTGCCTGCGACTACGTCTGCTTAGAATAGACTGAAGGTGTAACATTAAGACAGAAAGACAGATATACATAAAATATATTTATAAATTGTAGCCTATGTCTTATTCTGATGCATAAGCTATATTAGTCTAAAATTTCTCTTCATTAAAATCCATACAGTAGTATTTGCGTGAAAGAGTAACAAACATCCATCCATACATACAAACTTTCGCCTTTATAATATTAGTAAGGATATAATTTTGTAGTAAGGAAGTAAGGAAAGTAAGGATTGTAAGGATAATCGTGGGATTATCCTTACACAGTTTAGAGATAATATAACAAACATATAACATTAATAGAGTCTTAATCTATAATTTATCTGATAACTTTTGTGTGACAAAAACTTATTTACTTTATTTTGGATACAAATGAATTGACTCTAGTAAAGTGACAACTCCAAGAAGCGTCTAATGTACGGTGCACAATGCTCTATTACCCTCAAATGTCTGGTTGAGAGGAAATATATGACGTATCACAGCATCCCCCTGAGCGCTTCGCTCTATGTCATCAATAACTCGCCTCCGCCCCGACTCGAACTTCTGACGTATTTATGCCTCAGCCCCACCCACATCCGACCAACTGAAATATCCTCTTGATACTAACGTGGAGTAACTTTTCTGAGTACTTTGTTATTTTGCCGCACTTTGCAGTAAGAGGCTCGTGGAAGTGTTTTAAGGCAAAAAATGTTGTATCATTTTTTATATATGAAGATGCTAGCGGTTCAGCTGATTTTAAGTAACGTGGTACTTCCCCGGACGGACCTGCCTATTCTAGCAACAGCGAACTGTTGCCTTACCCTACCACAGTTGAAAATTCCGATACGAACTCTCATATCGTTTTTGAATTACATTCTCGTACGCAATAGAATATCAACTGATATTGTTTGAATTATCTCTGACCAGTAAATCGATTGTGAAGCATTTGTTATACAATTTACTTTCTCTTATAATGTTTACTAATCGGATAAGATTACTTTAACTCGAAGATATTTTCCCTTACACGCCAAATTTGAATATAAAAGTGAAGACTTCCATTAACAAATTAGGGACCTAGAGAGGCCGCGACCAACTCAAATAATCCTACATTCCCCCAGGCCTTAATTGCGTACGGTTATTACGTAGTTACTTAAAAAAATTAATCCGTGGATCGGCATTAGCCATTTATTTGATTATATAATTAAAACTGTATTAAATCTTGTTGGTCTAAGGCCGTGATAGCTCAGAGTCAGAGCGCTCGCCTTTTAATCATAATCGAGCGACCTGAGTTCGATCCCCGGTTCCGGCACCAATGCAACTGTTCATTTTAAGTGCTGACTTATCACGTGTCAGCTGTCACTTTACTACTTTTACTTTGGTCTACGGCGTAACTTTTCTTCTCTTAAAGAATGCAACCAAAAAGATCCTTAAAAGGAGAGCCTAAAAATTATTTTCGCTCGTAAAGGATTTAACAGACTTACGAATCTAATTAACGGTTTTAATACAGGCCCGAGGCGCTGTTTCTGTTAATTAAAAGCGACCGATGCCGCGCAACTTCTGGGTATTGTCAACACAAACAAATACAATATGTAACCCGTAAAGGCAAATAAAGGCTCTCGAAATGTAACAACTCCGAACGCAAACTACCGGGAATGACTGTTGGGAACAAATTGTGCGAAACTTATTTTAGCTTTCGCGTAATTATATTTCGGTCGGTTTCATTATCAAACTAACAGTTCTGTCATTGATAAGCCTTCAGGAAGCGCGGATTCTAATGGAAACAAAACTTTCGTAGCATTTAGGGTGATTAAATTTATCTTAAAAGCTTCCATGCCTCACTCGCAATGTTGTAAATCCTAATCAAATGTTAATTTTAATACTGTTGAAAAAGGCACGCAGCATTTTAGAACTTAGAACCATAATTTTACACGCGTTTACAAAGTTTCGTATTCGGAACGTTTAATTTGTATCGAAAGATTCCATTACTGAGACGCATAAATACATGTTTTTTTGCTACTACGTTAAAACATTACAACACCGTGTTATTGACAGTTACATACACAGACCGAGAATTGAGTGTGTTTTCTTGGTGTATGTTATTGTTAGTTAGTTTATTGAGTTTGTTTTCTTGGAGTTTCTTTTGGTATTAAATACATATTACAGATATATAAAAACCCAGACACAAGAAAAGACTCTAGGGTCGTCACAAATGTTTTGAGTAGCTGGGCATCAAACCACTTCCTCGGGCACAGTAGGCAGGTACTAACCACTACGCCTATCAGGTCATCAAATATAGCAATGCAGTTACCCATCCATCACAGAACGTAATGCTCTTCATGGCAGAAGGAACAGACTTTATCAGTATTATATTAGTCAAATATCTCGCTCTGTATACATTTAATAATTTATTTTCAGGATTTCCCTACGTATCTCCAGAGCCCAAGATCCAATACCAACGAAATTAATATGGGACCCACATGGGAAGCATCAGCTTTCAAATAAAAAAAGAATCATCAAAATCGGTTAAGTCAGTCGAAAGTTCTGAGGAAACAAACATTCAAAAAAATGGAGTATTTAGAATTTCCTCCTTTTTTGAAGTCGGTTGAACAAAGTGGTAGCTACGAACTTGTCAGCCCGCCTTCATTCTCAGGAGGGAGTCATACTTTATTACAACTCCAATGCATCGTTCATTAATTCATACATACATGCAGAGACAACCCATTTGGCGTAGTGGACAGTGAACCAGTATCAAGCGCTATTTTCTCGTTCGATTCCCACTACTGGAAAAATATTATATGATGAACATATATGTAATATAATGAAAAGTATTTTTACTACTATTTTATTACTACTGTTTATTTTTAATTTTATGTCCCGACGTTTCGAACCCTTTACAGCGTTCATGGTCACATGAGGCGTTAACCCGGGTTACCGTCAGTTTTTAAATTTTAACGTGATAAATGCGTAAATATAGTTTCATTTATAATGTAAAGTCGCGTAAATACAAGAAATTTTAATCTATAATATGCCTTCATTTAAAAGAGAAGTAAGTATGTTTATCAGTTACCTGGTCACAATAGAACAATAATTATAGCTTAGATTGGGACTAGGTAGCGTCATGTAAAAATAGTTATGTCCGGAAATATTTCATTTATTTATCTTTATAGTAATAAAACAAAAAACTTTGTACTCCTTTTTAAAAAATTTGCGCGCGCGGAGGATTATGAAATTTACCACACTTATAGTTTATAAAGAGAATTTATTATTAATAATTTTAATTTTTTATTTATAATTTATTTTTTATTAGCAGATTGCTAATATTTTTTAAAATTCTGCATAAAAAATATATGATATTTATAAAAAAAAAGACATTGCCCTAAAGTGAGGGCAATGTTTTGGATAACATTATCCTGTGTTGTAAGGACGTTTTACAAACATAAATTTCACGCGGACCAACACCCAAATGCAACAACTATCTGTGGGTCGCACAAATAGTTGCCCCGTGTGGGAATCGAACCCACGACCCCCGACGCCGAAGCCGAACCTTGGCAACTGCGCCACGGAGTCGTCAAAACACATTACACACACTACCGTGTGAATTATACATTAATTAATTAATTTTGGTCGAATTTCGACCACTCGGCGACCACTGGTTCACATAAATACGTGAATATACCCACGGGCGAGTGGCCAACGAGTCGAATACAGACGTGAACGTAGCTGGCAGCACGAATGCGCTACATATAAGGGGAGGTGCGCACTCACTGCGCGCATTACGTTCCCTTTGCCCATGCGATTCGGCGAGCGCGCGTGAACTGTCCAGTGGTTATTGTGATTGTGATCTCAAGATGCGGTTCGCCGTTTGTGTATGTACTCTTTTGTAATAAACAACGTTTTTCCCGTGTGTTTCCATGCGAAATAATAGTTCAGATTCGAAGCATCGCAGACGCCAGAGCCCGTCGTCTAACCATGTACAGCGTATGAGAAACATCCGTTCAAAATTTCATTCAAATCAGTCCTACCGGCACATATTATGTTATGACGTAACATCGTAAGGCTTAATGTTAATTTTGTGAAAGAAAGAATTATGTGAGTAAAATTTTTACGATGCGCGCGCACAGCCTAAAAGAGATATGATAAAGTTGATTGCAAAACGACAATCTTCACGTTATTACCATGGCAACCAGTAACAACTTTTTGACATTTACCTATGATTCCAAGGTTATATATTCAACCGTTGTCAATTGCATTTAACGTTTTTTTAACCGACTTCAAAAAGAAGGAGGTTATCAATTCGGATGTTTATATATTTTTTATGTATGTTCGAGCATAACTTCGTCATATATAGGCGGATTTGCAAAATTCTCGGGTTTTGGAAACCCGAGAATGGAAAGGGTTTCATTCCGAAATGGTCCCGTCCAAATTTCATATAGATCTGATGATGATAGACAGATAGCAACGAAACTCTTCGAAATATGACAAGAAATCAACCGCGATTGCTGCTATCGCATAAATATGTTTTGCATGTAACGTTGTAAGAGTTACGTACATCATTTTACTTGAAGTCGATTCTTTTTTTGTTAAAAAAACTTTTTTTCACAAACAAAGTGCTTAAGAAGATTATAATATATTTAAGACACATAGTTTTCTTATTTAATATACAATTTTCCTCATGGCCAGAGATGCTGTCCAGAATTTGGATCACTAAGTAGCTATAAATCCCCAAAAGTTATGTCAGATGAGAAGTTGATAGTTATAATCGTTACAAGTGTTAGGCCTATTACCGTACACTTAGTGGAAATGTAAGATCTATTTCGCACGTGAGGATTGAACCCACAAGCTCAGATCGTCAGTTGGAGCAGCCACCACTAAGCCATCGCTGTTTACAGTTTTATGAAGGCAACTTAAAAAATGAAAATGTATTCATCGAGTTGCCTGTAATCTTAAACGTACACACTCGGCTATATCTGTATGCTTGCTTTATTAGAATAACAATCTATCTAATCGGCAACATAACTAAATAAATGTTTAACACTATTAAATGCGATCAAACTTTATTTATACAGTTAAACTCTAAAAAGTTGCTTTGGCAAACGTGCACATAATATACATATGTAACGTTTTCATATTACAAAATCAGTAATGCCTAGTGTCTGGATGTCGGGCTTGCGATCTGAAGATCGCAGATTCGAATCCATTTTTTTATTTTTCATCTTTAAAAAAACACTGCCCTCGCTTCAGAACAACATATACATGCTGTGTTGTAAGGAAGTGTGAGAGTGACAAATAGTTGTACCATGTGAGAATCAAACCCACGACCCCCGACGCATTCTAGGCGATTTGTGTGACACACAGACAATTGTTTCGGATCTGGGTGTTCGTCCACGTGAAATTAATGTTTGTAAAACGTCCTTGCAGGACAGGTTAATCTTGTCCCACAGTAAGGGCAATGTTTTATAAAATTAAAAAAAAGAAGGTGACATAGTTACGGCTACTGGATTAAAACCAGTGACGAACCAGACTCCGTGAAAAGACGTTCAGAAAGTGCCGCGAGCGGTTTCTACCCGATTACGACGAAAACGCTATGATGCGACATAATTGCGTAATACGATTAAAAGTGTTACATAAAAACAAGCGCAAAAATGTTATTAAGCGCGTGCGTATGAATAAACAAGTGATCTGTATTGCATAGTCGATATAACCGCTTTTTTATCAACGGGTTACATAAATGTATGCTGTTAATTTGGGGCGGTTATTGAAAGAGTTTGAAATATTTAACGTTATGCAACACCGGAATGTTAGTGTTCAGCTAGATCTTGCAGTATCCGCAGTGACTCCGTGGCACAGATGCCAAGGTATTGTCTTTGGCGTCGGGGGTCGTGGGTTCGATTCTCGCATGATTCAACTATTGATGTATCGTATCGGGGGTTTGTCCACGTGATATTTGTGAGTGTAAAACGTTCTTATAATACTGGATAATGTTATCCTGCGATAAGGGGGCACGTTTTCGAAGAGAGGACTACAATAGATCTTTCTAGATCGCAGTGCTTGTTACGACTTCTATCTACCCAATCCCTTCCAAACTAATTACAAATACAGTATCGACAGCATCAAGCTTTAAAGATTGAAATCTGACTGGATAGAACGGAGAGTTTTAAAGGTTTTTTAATGAAATTTTGAATTGTTCATACGCTGGATTATACGTATGATCCTTTTAATTCACATATGGGCCTCGTGGGCAAACCCAATAATAAAACTATTTATTACGAAACCGCCGTTCATATACATGGAGCTGAAATATGAAATAAGAAGGTTGACTCTCACCAAAACCATTAATCTTTTCAATAAAAATTGAGAAAAATTCATTCATCTCCTTCATTAGAAGTCTCATGACAATAGCTCATACGATGTTCCATGTATTGTCTGCTAAGAACTGTATGTGTGTATTTCCGGGATAAGTGTGTGTTATATCTCAGTTACTTGAAAGACAAAGGCACTTACATTACTTACGATTCCACAGGTCAGCTTCGTGGTACTAGCGGCAGCTGTTCACGCAGAATTAACCAAGGGGACAACATCGAAAACTGAGAAGAGGGCGCTCACGGAAGGCAACGCTGGCTTGAGGAAACGGGCGCCAGCCTTACCCTCAGGTGACCTTTTTATGTGAGAAGGTGGCAAGCGAGCTGGCGGTTCACCTGGTATTAAGCGATATCCGCCGCCCATGGAGATTGCAACACCCGTAGGGTTGCCGATGCGTTGCCACCTTTTAATAAAGTTGAACCCCGGCTACCTCACTCACTAGACGAAACGCAGAAGTATGTGAATATCCACCTCTGCGTTATGGACTATGCCCAAATACCCTCTATACAGAGAAGGTCTTTACGGTAGACGTAAATAGACTGTTAATTCACTTTTTTCTCGATATCCAGCAAATTGATAGTTACTATAGGTCGTAAAATTAAAACTTCAAGCAGACATACACAAATATCAAACGCACATGTCGCTACGTTATTGACGAAACTTTACGTAAAGACTGAACAATCCGTTACCGATTAAATTTTAAGTTTTTATATGCGATAGAAAGCATCGCACTTTTAGTCGTAAATCAGTTACAATTTTATTGAATATTTTATAGTGTTAATAAAGAGTTTAAACAGTTTTCCACTTCAATACTGATTCAGTAATCGAACAAAAAGCTTTATGGCCACGTGATGAATTATATATGCCATAGCCCGTTACTTTGAACAGAAAGTGGATTTGGATATGAAGATGAGCGATAAATTTTTGAAAGTTGAATTTGTAGACGTTGAAATATAGTTTTATAACTCAGACGGAGATTGAACGGCCTGCAATTGGATCTTTGAATGTTTTGATGTGGCTTACGAAGCAATTCATTTTTTAACATTTTCTAATTTACTGCAAAAAGCTTTTTGACCAGTTCACGATTTCATATTTTAAACTATGTATTTCATAATATCTGTCGAAGTAGAAGTTTTATCTCCTATCGTGTGAAAACAGAATTACATTATTAAATTATTTAATAATGTAATACTGGAGATACATAGTTGTAACTCCATGAACGGCTAAATATTCTATTTATATTCATTCATATTTAAATATTTATATTTAAATATAGAAAAAAATAAAGAAACTTAACCTAATATTTTGATCGTTACAGATTACTCTAAAATTACAAAAAATGTGGAACGTCTTTCGTAAGCATCCCTGTATATCATTAAATATATTTTTTTACTTTAATTTAATATTGCAGTGAGCTCGTCGGCCAACGCGGGCGTGGAGTATGCAGATACGAAACAGCCACTTCCCGACAAGTCCCCTTCCCAGGTAAGAAAGTATATACTAAATTTAAAATTGACCGATTAAAGGACATCCAATACTAATTCCTCCGAGCTTCATATCCTAAATTAGTCTTTTTTTTTTATGCGAAAAGTTGTCAAACGAGCAGACGGTTCACCTGATGTTAAGTGAATACCGCCGCCCATGGACATCTGCCACACCCGAGGGTTACAGATGCGTTGACAACCTTTTGAAAATTGGGCTCCGGCTACCTCACTCACCAGACGAAACGCGAAAGTATTTGTCATACTTCCACTTTACGCTGATCTTCTGTGAGGTCGTGGTACTTAACCGGACGGGCCTGCCCATTCGTGCAACAGCCGAAGCTGCTGCGTGGCCCTACCACCGTAACTGTTTACTGATTCTGAGTAAGTAGTTCCCACGTGTCCTCGAGGCTTACGTCGTGGGGGCAATTTTTATTGACTACCTACTGAAAATTCATCGTTAGCCTCTTTTAAACTATTCTCAAACGCAACGATTTATCGCATATTTTGCAGATTTAAATCGAAAAGATAACGCGTGAAAGACGTATAAACTACGTCACAGTAGCCAAGACCTTAGCTTACAATTGAATTAGTGTAAACAAATTACTTCGAAGTGTCAAGGATACATATCGTATGATATGATGAGATTATTTTAACCGGACACCACCTATACGTTTATTATAAAATCGTTTTACCTGCAACTTTAAAATTAATAAATAAGTATCTAACAACTCGTGTAACGTTCATACGCAGAATGTTAGTTACAAGGGCGGAAAGTTACAAACTAAGCTTTTAGAAGCTACTAATAAGCCTCAAGCATAAATTAAATCTAAAGGTATAATTGCAAGGTTAGGAAAGGAAGAAAAGAACATGTTAGTAAATAATAACAATATCATAGTTTTAAAAAACTCGCTTTTACTCTCTTTTTTATCGTGAAAAGTCGCCAAACGAGCTGGCGGATCACCTGATGTTAAGCGATAACCGCCGCCCATGGACATTCGCAACACCCGTATGGTTGCAGATGCGTTGCCACCTTTAAATAAAGTGTGCCCCGTCAACCTCACTAACCAGACGAAACGCAGAAGTGCAACACATCTACTTCACTACTTCTGCGAGGCCGTGGTACTTACCCGGACGGACCAGCCCATAGTGCAACAGCGAACATTGATGCGTGGCCCTACCAACGCTGAAGTCGAAGTATTATAACTTCGCGTTTCATCCGGCTAGTGAGGCACACTTTAAAATAGGTTGGCAACGCATCTTCAACCCACCAGGTGTTGCAGATGTCCATAACGGCGGCAGTCACTTAAAATCAGGTGAACCGCCTGCTTTCATTCCAACTTTTTACATAAAACACAAGTTTCACTGTCTCGCAAGGAATGCCAGGCAATAGCGAGTCTTATCGCGATTCCGCCAGTTTCAAGTGAAATCTTTGCGGAAGTACGTACGAAGATTTCCCATTAGAGGTATGTTGGTTTAAGGGAGCGGGGGATTTTTTTGGCTTTTCAAACTTTTCACATTCCCTTTGCGACTCCAACGAACTCTCGGGAAGGGAGTTTGAGAATACGGAACCCTAAGAACAATCTCTTCGTGAATACAGATGGATGGTTTATATCGTGCGATATTTAAATGCTCACAAAATTCTAAGAAGAATATCACAATTGCGATATATTCTATCATTGCTAAAAAGATACATTTAATAAATAGCTAGTCGGTATCACCGCAGAAGTCTTCGCCGGCTCATTCTTTACGAATTTTTGAGCCACTGGTGTACTTTTTGCTAATTTTAACTTTCAAATCTGAGTAAAAATTATTTCACTTCAATATATGAATATACGACCCTCACTAAAGATAGAGGATTCTGGAAAAAAAAAGAGGAGGCCTTTACCCAAACGGAATCCACGTCACAGAAAGATAACTAACTTTACTAACACTGAAATAAATAATCATCTAAATATATACTAACAAACATTAACTTGATGACTCCGTAGTCCTGTGTGGGAACTATTCATGTGAGCCACTGATAGTTATTTCGCATCTGGGTGTTCGTCCACGTGAAATTTATATTTGTAACTCGTCCTTACAACGCAGGATGACGTTATCCTAAAATAAGAGCAATGTTTTAAAAACAAAGAGAGAAAAAAAATATATAACATATGTTGATGTGGAAATAAAAAGGCTTTAAATTAACATACAATTGCTCAATTCTAAAACCAATTTCACAGCTCAATAACTTCGAGGTTTTAGTGGTGGTACACATCCGTGTAAGTAAATACATTTAGTAAAAAAAACCTCCCTCAGTTACGTAAGCCGTGTAAACTCTCCGGAAACGGTTACATCCTTTGAAACTCGTTGCGGGGCTAAATAACGAAGCCCCAACCCTCACCATAAGTACTAAGGGTCGGTAAATTGCGGGTTGTTTAATTAAAAAAAAACTGTTCCGGTTCCGTGAACTCTTTCCGCCTTGTACGTCGTATATTTAGTTTTTATGTTTTGGATCCACCTTCATATTTTCAAACAAGAGATGATTAATATTCCTTTCGCCTGCTTCTTCTCCGTTAGAGGAACCTCATTACGAAACGATGGTAGATTAAAAAAAATTACTATAGATAGATGAAATTTATGTTTCTTGTGTCTATGTATAAAATTAAATGTATGTGATTTTTGATTTTGATTTAAATGTTTATTTCCTTTATAGATAAAAATGTTAGGTTTCACTCTAAAGCCACTCTATTAATCAAGGGTGAAATTAATCAAATATTACTACATATTGGATTTATTAACATATTTAACATTTAAGTACTTTACTGTACATTTGATGAAAATATTAATTACATATTTGATGTTCTATTTAAACAACAAACACTATCTTTCGTCTCCCTAAGATAGATTTTCCAACCGTCAACCCACCTAGGGAACAAAGACCCAGGTCCGGAACAATTATCTGCGGTTCACACGAACAGTTGTCCCTTATGGGAATCGAACTCATGATCCCTGGCATCGAAGCCAAGAACTTAGCAACTGCGCCACCAAACAAAAATAAAATAACGTACAAATAACTTACCATAACAGGTACACAGTTAAATGAAACTAGTTTAAGGATTTTATCGCGTTTTTATTTTGTCATAACCTATCCCGTGACCATGAACGCTGGAAAGGGTTCGAAACGTCGGGAGTTCAAATCAAAATAAAAAACGCGATAAAATCCGTAAACTAGTTTCATTTAATATGTATAATATTCGCGTAAAATCAAGAAAACAATAGGTATAGGCATAACTTTCAACAAACACTGATTCCGGTCTGTTATACAAACAACAAGCTTATTATTAATTTCTACTATAATACATATAAATGTAAACACGTCTACACTTGCCGGTCGTGTTAACCACTGCAACGTTTTCATCTATGAAACTGAAATAGATTACGATGTACTGCCATAATTAGCGTATTAATTCTTAATGTATGTAAATAACATTACTGTACCAAAGTATGTTAATAATGACTACTTTGTCTCTTATGTATTCGTATATTCATCGTAATATGTAAATACATGACAACAACAAAAAAAAGCCACTGCAACAAATACCATATGAGTTAGTCATATAATTATATAAAGAAAACAATAACAATGACGTTGTTAGGGCCACGCAGCAGCCTCGGCTGTTGCACGAATGGGCAGGCTCGTCCGGTAAGTACCATGACCTCACAGAAGACCGGCGTAAAGTGGAAAAATAATACTTTCGCGTTTCGTCTGATGAGTGAGGTAGCCGGAGCCCAATTTTCAAAAAGTTGTCAACGCATCTGCAACCCTCGGGTGTAGCGGATGTCCATTGGCGGCGGTATTCACTTAACATTAGGTGAACCGTCTGCTCGCTTGGCAACTTTTCACATAAAAAAATAACTGAGATATTCAATAATATGCTTTATTCACTTGCATAATTAGAGGAGCAACTGAATGTTTTCTCTATAAACCGCGTTATAGAAAGGAACTAGGGTAACATATGAATTTAGTGACAATCCCAGCTCTTCGAAAGGAGATACAAAAAATAAACTAGATAGAACCAAAAACCTGTTGACTGGCCGTCGGGATCTGAATCCAAGAACTGATATCACAAAACCAACCGCTGGACCTTATTCATCAGTACCCTTTTTAATAACAAATAACAAATTTGACTCCTAATGTCTCACTATAAATCTCTGTTTAATTTTGAGGCGTTCCCTGCTGAACCTCCAACGTAATTGAACAAAAAAACTACGTGGGAGTTAGACTGAGCCCAATGCAAAAATAGTTTTAAAAACTGGTTCATTAGGGACTTCTAATGACGTCATGAGATGGAAAACATAAAAAATCCAACCTCGCCCTTTTTTGAAGTTGAAATGTAGACCCAAAAGAACAAACTGAAATACACAACACACATTTTAAAGAATAAAAAAAACATGGACATAAAATATAAACGTAGATATACTTAAACATCAAAAGGTTGAAGATAGACTGGCGAATATAGTACATCGCATAAATATCTTACTTATCCTGACATTTTCAACAAGTATTCTTTCAAAGCAGCAAAGCAGTCCTTTTTATGCATTACGAGCAACGACTTAAAATCCACCAAATCCAGCTTTGGAACAAGAAGACTGCAGAATGACACGTGAATAATTTAAAGATTCACTATAGCAGTGTTGCCATCTCGGCGATGTTACCAATAAATCTAGTGAATTCAATTCGTCCCTGTAACTGAACTTATTTAAAGTAATGGGCAGATTTAAAAAACAGCGCGATAATGTATGGCACTCCTAAATGTGTATTTGCATAGAATCTGCTATTGAACTTTTATATTATTTCAAGGACATCAAAAACGAAAACGATTCTTTGGTGGTTTACATTAACCCTTTTTAAATTTATGTAAGATTTTGACAGTTTCGTTTTGACAGTCCGTAAACTCTTCAGTTAATGATTGATGTTGTTTAAGTGCCACTCTGGGCGTGTTATCCGTAAGGAGCCTGTTCGAACCCCGCAACGCTAAAAGTTTTTGACTATGTATCTACAAAAAATTCACGTTTAAACTCTTCTGAACAAAAACTGGCAACACTAACCGCGCTGCACGCCACAGTCAGAGTACGGAGACTTAGCCAGCCGTTGTTTGCTTTGATTAAAATTTTCTGAACAATGGAACGCGATCTGTTGGGAAAATATCATCCTTTTTAAATAGTTAATAGCTCAGTCCGGACCTTGGTTAAGTCCCAGCTCTGACAGCAACGCTGTGACTGCAATGGCGAATACCAATTTATCTCCGTATATCCTGTCGGCCTTTGTCGTCCTACTTGTTGTTGGACTTGATAGAATAAGCCGAACAAACAAAATATAACAAACGACTTAAAAAAATACGATAACTCAAAAGTGACTCCTAAATATTACATACTAAATGCTTACGAAAACTCTTAAATAAAATCATCTTTTTGTAATATGAATAAAGGAAAATCTTTGGATTCTTCAGACGGTTTATCCCAATTTTATTCTTAAAGGTTTATCTGGTATTAAATCTTTTCTTTTTTCCGAGAAATCTCTATACACCTGTATGCACATGTACACTCATATAGTTCTCTGTAGATAACCCATTGATCAATTCTGTAAATATGATAAAAACTTTAGCTGCAATGAAGTAGTCTACGGCAGCTGCGAAACTTCAGCCATCCTCCACATTATGGAGTCCATAAGAGGATCACTTCATCATACTTCCCCCAGTAACAATGCCAAAAGCAAATGAATAATTCAAGAAGTGGGATGCCTCAAACATTTCGCCATAAGTAATGTGAGGCACAAGTTGAAAAACTCCTTCGAAATTTAAAAGTCGAATGCTGCGGGGAAACGGGAACAATCTAGCCGAGTTTGTGACAGATGAATTTAAAAATTCGAATGAGATGTTTCACTTCTTATGTCGCGGTTAAAAACAAAATTTATCTTTTCTTCAGTTAGCGACCCATACGCTCATGTCATCGAGATATTTTTGGTTGTTATTTCGAAAATACGCGGGTTTTCTCACGATGTTTTCCTCCACCGCTGAGCACGTGATAAGTCAGCACTTAAAATTAACAATTTCCTTGGTGATGGCACTGGGGATCGAACTCAGGTTGCTCGAGTAAATTGAATTAAAGGTGAGCGCCTGGACATTGAGACACCTGTCACGATCATCTAAGCCTCGCCCAAATACATGACATTTATAAAAAAGGACTTTCTCGATATCGATTTTCTTCATCGCAGTGTTTTAATCTTACGAAAAAACAATCTTTTACGAAACGACAAACATTTCCCACGTAGGGCAGCCTCCACCAGTTTATAATCGCACTTCGGGAAATTGTTTTCAACGTGAGCCTAACAAAAAGCATCGCCGACCTTCCGTATAGTTCTCACGACCAGCAAATACAGCGTTGAAACGTGCAAGTATTTGCGAGGTGACGTGCCGTAACGATGTCAAGTGTGTGCTAGAACCCTTATTTACAATTAAAAAACGCGCGTCTTCGAAAAATAACAGCGACAGTAACAATGCCTGTAATCCTATTTTATTTTAACGATATGGTCACTCTGATAAGTTATTGAATAAACGGTTAAGTGCTTCCTTCCTTTCCTACAGCCTATAAAACGAAATTGTCTTAAATTTATTAATATACTAAATTTCTTATAAGAAGGATTTTTTTATTCTTCTTCTTTTCGAATCATAATTGCAATTTAAATCTCGTTAGACGAGTATTTGGCCACATCCACCGCTACAGAATTGGATTCAAGCAGGAAACAAATTTTGTTGGCAAAAATGGCTAAAAAATTTTTTATTAAAACAAAAGTAGCCATCAAAATCTGACTATATTAATTTTGATAAATAAATTTTAGTACTTTAGTTTTATAAATAAGCAAGTTTTGTTTACTTCATCATCCTTAAAGACAAGTTGACCTCTACTCTGCGGAATACATTAAAAACATGCCAATGCCAATATTAAGCATAGAAACGCATACTTTTTTTCAAATAACTACCCCGTACGTGTATCTAAGAAAAAATTTCGTACTATTACATAAAGTATTTTATCTTATCCTTTAAACGAGCAATTCTTGTATTTATATATATATATATATATATATATATATATATATATACAAGAATTGCTCGTTTCCGTAGATTCGGGGCGTAGATTCGGGGGCAAAAAATCGATCTAGCTAGGTTTCATTTTTAGAAAATGCCCTTTTATCCCTGTTTTCAGGGAATGAAAAATATAATTCGAATATGACGGTAAATTTCGCCGCAAGAGAAAATGTCATAATAGCTCGGTCGGTAATCGGGCGGCCCAAAACAGACGGCCGTGGTTCGCGTCACGATCATTTACACATTTATTTTTTTACTTTTTTTTCGATTCCAGATCATTGCTTTCTTCATTTTTAATTTTTTGTTGTTTTGTTATTTTTTTTCCCTTTTTTTTAAAGTTCTTTCATTTGTGAAAAACATCAGTTCATATTTTCTTATTATTACGTCGGTAAGATCGAAATACATTATGCGTATTTCATTACTCAGTAATTTGTATCTAAATGTAATTTCCAAAATAAACGATTTAAAAAAAAACAAACCGAGCAAAGCTCGGTTCTCCGGGTACTACAAATAACGAATTAGGCGCCTGTCAATCAAGCGGACCGATTCTCAAAAGTACCTGTTCGTATATTACATAAGCACTATAAATTGTCATATCCGGTTCAAGATGACTCGATGGCGCAGTTGCTAAGATAATGGCTTCGGCGACGGGGGTCGTGGGTTCGTTCCACACGGGACAAGTATTTGTGTGACCCACATAAAATTGTTCCGGATCTTGGTGTTTACTCCCAAGGAGGGTTGGACGTCAGGCAGGCGGCCTGACATAAAAATCATAGCCGAAATCACTTACAACGTGAGTCACATGTTGTGTCGACCCCACCTCGGTATAAGGGCAGAGGGGTGAAGATATCCGGTTCAAGTATCATGTGGCAGTGGAATAATTACGTAACTTGCGTTTATCCGCAAACGAAGTATCTTGTTTAATTTTCGCAATAGGTTCCTTTTCGTTGCGTCAGACATTGTAATTTTTTCTTATTCTTCTTCTTTTTTTTTTTATTTTTTTTTTAAACATTGCCCTTACTTTAGGATAACATTATCCTGTGTTGTAAGGACGATTTACAAACACAAATTTCACGTCGACAAACAGCCAGATGTGAAACAACAGAATCTGTGGGTCACACAAATAGTTGTACCGTGTGGGGATCGAACCCACGAACCCCAACGCCGAAGCCAATACCTTGGCAACTGCGCCACGGAGTCATCAATTGCCTTTTCCTGTTCGATATAAAGCCACGATCATCGAACCTTCCCCGTCAAACGATCGGAAACTATTCCATCATAAATCTTTGTTATAAATATACAAGTAAAACCAATTAAACTGTAAGACTATTGCTATTTTATTTACTCATTTATTATTTTAATTATTTATAATATTATATTGTTTCTTTCGCTGTCGCGGGCATGTCAAACAAATATCACATAAAAAACGTCGAACATACTAAATCATTTTGTTACAGCGAAACACAATGAACGAATTTAAGGTGTATTTTCGTATTAAATATAGACATTTCTGTTTCAACAGCAAATATACGCCACTCCGTCGCCACAAATAACGAAAATCTCGGACCTGCTGGCTGCCCAGGGTCCATCGTTCCAGGCTGCCATTGCCAATCAGTTGTTCGCACCACTCCCTGCGTACCAGCCCCGTGTAAGTACAATGCTTGTTATGCCATACAACGAAATTGTGGCATCTCATTATACGTTATTGTGGCAGATCGTTAAGAGTAATAGGAGGTGGCATCTACTATCGAATAACCATGGCCCCAGAAGACAAGCCTGAACAACTATAAGTAACTTTCAAAAGCTGTTTTCTAACGCCATCTATCGTGAATGTCCATTAATAACCGTTTGCCACCTGCAGAACAGATTATCTAACTCTAGTCTATCAAAATAAAATATGAAATGAAATCTAACATTTCCTTATCCTCCTTTTATCAACCGACTTCAAAAAAGGAGGAGAATCTCAATTCGACTGTATTTTTTGTTTGTTTGTTACCTTAGAACTTTCGTCTGAGTGAACGGATTTTGATGATTCTTTCTTTTATTTGAAAGCTGGTGCTTCCCATGTGGTCCCATATTAATTTCATTGTTATTGGATCTTAGGAACCGGAGATACGTAGGGAACTCCTGAAAATGAATTATAAAATTTCTGATGGTAGGGCCACGCAGCAGCCTCGGCTGTTGCACGGATGGGCAGGCTCGTCCGGGTAAGTACCACGACCTCACAGAAGACCGGCGTAAAGTGGATGTATAATACTTTTGCGTTTTGTCTGGTGAGTGAGGTGGCCGGAGCCAGTTTTCAAAAGGCTCTCAACGCATCCGCAACCCTCGGGTGTGGCAAATGTTCATGGGCGGCGGTATAATCTTAACATCAGGTGAACCATCTGCTCGCTTGTCAACTTTTCACATAAAAAAAAGTGAATAAAGAGCGAGATATTTGAAGTCGGTTTTGTTTTTCGTTAATAAAAATAGACTTGTTATTCATGTATAGTTCATAAGACGTGTCGTGTTGGTCAACGAAACGAAATAATTTGTATGACATCTTAATAACCTTTTACTGAGCTACCACTGCTACCATTTGCTACCTTCCTCAGTCTTGATGTTTTGCGATAGCAATGTGGATGGATTAAATGTATGATGTTGAATAGTAAATCAAAATAGTAAATCTTATATGTAACTTTCCTCGTCAATTCGCAGGCTGGCGCACCAACTTACGAGGTTTCGGCCCCGGTGCCATCGCAGCTCGCCTACAGCGAGCACAGAATCGGCTACCAAAACCCTAACGCTATACAGTACAACCCGCAAGACTACAATATAAAACTACCCAGGCAACCGGAGTACACACAACAGCAGCTGTTGGCCCAGCCACAGCAAATATTCAACCAACAGCCGCAAATACAACAGATTTACCAGCAAATCCCGCCAACGAATTACCAACCGCAGACCACACAGTACAATCAACTGCAGCCCACCCCGTACAATCAACTACAGCCCACCCCGTACAATCAACTACAGCCCACCCCGTACAATCAACTGCAGCCGACCGCACACAATCAACTGCAGCCCATCCAATATTCGCCTCAAATATTCAAACAATTGGAGAGCCAGCAGCTACAAGGGTTGCAGTATCAACAGCCAGCTAGGCCGCTTTTCCCTGACAACCAACAAAACCTCCTGCCCGCCCAGTATAACCTGGCCCCCCAGCAGTATTACGAACCCCAACAACAGTATCAGCAGCAAGCGTATGCTCAAGAGCCAATCCAAAACGTCCAAATCCCTCAACCTGCTGCAGCGTACCCACGCCAAGAGGAGACCCAACAGAGAATCATCAGTCAGCCCGCGCAGAATCAAATCTACGAGAAGCAACAGTTTGTGGCTCAGGTAAAAGAGTTTTACCTAAAGTTCAGGTATAAGATATTGAAGGCTCTGATTAAGATTCAATATACCGTTTCTTGGATAAAATGTTTCATTAACATGTTCTTTCAGAAAGCCTTTAATCATTTAACACCAGATGAATTGAAGAATTTTTTGGTTGATAAAATTTTGTAATGTTATACAGCGTGTTGTTACCATCGCGACAATAAATGAACACACGTCTAACGCTACTTGCCAATAATCATAAAAAAATATTAACGTTAAACAAAATCCATAATTAAAAAAATATTTTTCAAACAAACTAACTAAGTAAAAAAGAAACAAAATTTGTAACATCCTATACAACTCGCGCCACAGCGTCGAATTACAAGCCTCTCCTTCTAACAGTATGTTTTGTCTCTTTTAAATTCGTTCAACCCATTCATATGCTTTGTGACCTTTACAAATGAACTTTACGTTACGCTTTTATAGGTAAGGGTGTTCTAAAATTCTTTGTTTTGGAAAATTTAATAACTCTGCAAATATTGATGTTTAAAGAATTTAAATGTTTAATACAACTTTAAAAAGTTATCCCCTATATGTGTGTTCCTTTATTGTCGCGATGGTAACGACACGCTGTATAATTGTTTTTATGCTATTCTATTATTTATTGTTTACAGAACTACCAGACACAGCCGCAGGGTCCGGTAAGCTTCACGAGTTTCCAGCACAACCAGCTGAATCCCTCCATCATCCACCACCCGTTCCATCAGCAGCAAGCTCAATCTAGCCAAGCGCAGGAGGTGTCCCTAGGCAACGCTGGGCAGGAAAGGCAGCCGTCGTACTTCCGACAGGGCCCACAGCTGCAGCAGCTCCAATCCCAGGTCCAGCCGCAGTACCAACCAGCCCAGCAGAATCGGTACCCAAAGCACGAAGCCGGGTCAGCCCAGGCCCCCGCGCCGACCTTCCCAGCGGTGCAGTATTTCGGGAAATACGCGCAGTCCATTTTCAACAAGGCGCAGCATTGATAGACAAAATCTGTTATGTTATATATACGAGCCAAAAATATGGTAGTAGCAGTAGTGTGTACTAATTTTAAAACGTTGTAAATATATCCTCGATGTCGTATTTAAGAAAGTTACGGCACAATTTGTACATAAAACACAATCGAGTAAGTTTCACGTTTCGTGAAAAATATTCATATTAATCACTTATACACGTAGCGTTACGATGAAAATTTATAAGTGAATGTATGTTTTAATTACGTAAATTCACAGAATGTTTATGGGAAATGTTTATCGCGGATTTTATCTCATAACATTTCAAGCGAAATTCGCAAAAAGAACAAATTCTTTTTGTAGAGCGCCTATCATTTACGATTTAGCTTCCAAGTTTTCTATCTTCGCAAAAAGTTCGCATAATAAGCTTACTGTCCGATATCGACCGTTATTCAATTTAATTTAAATTCAGGAAATCCTTTACTTATATTACTTTTAATCTGTGCAACTGTTTAACAACAGTTAAACAGTTATTACGTGTTTCATATCGAAACATAAGTTTTAGTTTTCTACGCGTCTTCTCCTCATTTTATCATCCTACCGTGAGTGCAATATTCTCAAATATAAATACAATGTTTTAGCTTCACTTAGATATACATTTTTGAACATTTACCGCTTAATTCACACCACACTCATATTCTGTGTGGTATATTGTGACTGAATGAACATGTATTTATATTATGCAATAAGAAGGGAAGCCCTTCTAAAGCATACGAGCGAAATGATTTTAAATATGACTAAATTCGATGGGATCGAAAGGTAAGATTTATCTACAACAATTGAAAATAATAAATTCCGAATTAGTTTTATTTCGTGGACAGCAGTTAGACCTGATTCAATATAAGATCCCAATTAAAACATAAAAGTACTGGTGAGCTTTGAGAATCACCTATGTCTCTTCCGTGGCAGTAATGACCTTTAAATTCTTAAGTTAAGATTACTAGCCCTAAATATTTCAATATCATAATATTATCATATATCCCATGCAAATATGCAGCATTGGAACGCATTGATTGAATGAAACCGGTTTATTGAGTCAAAACTAGTATACTAGTGTACCTTAGCGTTTCTGTACAAAGACGTTTATCAAACATACTAACAGTGACGAGCCAACTATATCAGTCAGACAATGTAAATGTATTCAAACCACAATTTCATATAAAAGTTTGAGAAAATTTTGTCTTATGAATTTGAAAATAATGTTCGTATATTAAAAGGTTATAATAAACTCATGGAACTACAAGGCAATTTTAAATGTAAAGTTTTAATACTTTATAAGTATTAAAACTTTACATTAAAAATATCCATTTTTCAAATCAAGTGCTTGGAGCTTTCTTCATATTCATTACTTTACATTACCATATAATATGTATATATAATGTCCAACTGTGATGCCATAAGATTAGTTAAAAATATTAATAATATATTGATTCGAAACAACTGTGCCTTTTATTTACCTAAGCCTGTCAATTCATCCTGTCCATCCATAATGTTCACTTAATAAAGGATTTTTTCTTTCAACGAATTTTGGTTCTGTCTTAGTTTTTAGTACTGTGAAAAGTTTTCACAGCGATGTCCATAGGTGTCAATATCTTAAATGTGATTAGAAAATAATAGAGATAATATCGCTATAAAAGTAATAATAAATTAATGAATTATGAAGAAAACGAAGGCGAACGATACAATGAACTGAACGCGGTCCCTTAAGCAGTATTTGTAAATTGTGAACGGTATCATGAATGGATTATGGGCACCGAAACTATCAAGAACCTTCCATTAGAAATCACCGCCCCCTATCGGATTTACGAGCGAACGCTCGCCAGCAATACATTGAACAACTTTACGGTAACAGAACTTTTCTGAGCCGTTGCATATTTTTACTGGCTCGAGAGGTTTAATCAAGCCTGAATGATTTTTACATTTTAACTTTGAATTTCGAACCCGCGACAAACGTGATTTGACCATTCATTTAACCCGATCGGTATGAAGAGTTCCTACAATAAACAACACAAAGATACAAGTGTCTGCTTTCGAATAAAGTTCACCTTGTAAAGAATTAAAGATATACGACGGTACATTGTCGTACTAAAGTCGTGGCAAGCCGCCATCCAATTTAATCGGAAAACTTGCCTAATGGCCACCATTAAAGTGTCGCCCTAACTTGACGCATCTTAACAAGTATCATCATACTTCACTGAATTCATTACTGCCAGGAGATATTAAAACAATTATTTCACACTATTGTATGCAAGGGAAACAAGTCTCGTTTTATTTTTCAAAAGCATCATTCATGTTACAATCTTTGTTTGAGCCACATAATTATCTCCAAATGTGTTTAATTATATAAATTGCCTTAGTAGGTATCTACACCTTTTGGGTAACACGTCCAAACGCTCCAATCAACTGAGCTAAGCTCCCGATATCCTCATGGCACGAAAATCTCTAGAACTATCTACTTTTCATAATTACTTACATTTACATACATTTTAGCAATGCTAACGCCTAGTGTTCGCCTTAAAACAGTATGCTGCCACTCTCACTTATCATTTTATTACAATGCATATTTGAACGACGTGTTGTCTTTGCAAATGAGTTTTATGATTATTTATTTTATTTTTAATAAAATATATCATATTGAGTGGAGAGTAACAAAAATAAAAAAAATAGAGTACTCAAATTCGGTATAAATATTTAATCTATATTACGAGTATATATGTATCTATATTTTAAATATAATTCCGATTATAAATAAATTTCCCATAATTACGTACCTAAACGTATATAATTACGTATACTATACATACGTTGGTCTATATGTTTACAAAAATAGTAACATAGCGATTCAAGAACAACAGATTTTAAGAGTTCTATTGCATTGGTGATAAAACAAAACAACTTCATTCTTCAGTTATCATTTTTTTAGGTTAGAAAATGCTAAATTTCATTAAATTATGTTATTGCATTAAACACACATAATGTCAGATTACAAATATATTTAAATAAAGCGCACTTTTTATTCTGCAGAGCTACCGAAACTAAAAGAGAATACGAAAACCGGGCTGTTTGATTAAAAATCTTCTACTGCGGAACAATGTGCCGGCGGTAAACTCCATTATTTCCCGCGGTTTTAATTTGACTTCGCGGGAAGCTCTACTTTCAGTGTGCTTAAATGTTCAGTGACTTTACATTGCATTTTTATGTTTCTTTTAGTGTCAGTGTTTGCACTCAAAATAGAAGTTAAATCTGATTTTTTAATGCTGATATTGGTTATATTTATCTAGCTAATTATATTAATTCAACTGCATAGTAAATAGTTAATCCCGTGACAATGAACGCTGTAAAGGGTTCGAAACGTCGGGAATTAAAATTAAAATAAACGCGATAAATCCGTAATTTTAGTTTCATTTATAATGCATAGTAAATTATTTATCGTTAGTTATCAAGAATGTTGATCAAGAAATATATATTTTAATAATATTCGTGAATAACGTAATAACAGTGAGATTCAAAAAATTTTACTGGTTGCTCCACACATCAAAAAAGGGACAAAATCAAACGATTAAAAAATGTAGGGATGCGAATTAATTATTTCTATTCGCTTCAATTATTGAGAAACATGAAAAGATTTAAAATAAAATATTACTGGGCAGAGTGATGGAAGATTCAAGAAGTTGAAAGAACACTAATAACTGTTCATTGATGTCTTGTATTTACGCGAACACTGTAATACATAATTCATGAGATTTTTTTGCACATTTAATCGCATTTTATTTTGATATTAAATTCCCGATGTTTCGAACACTACAGTATTCATAGTCGCGGGACAGATAGTCACTAGTAAAATTATTGGTATAGTCGAATTGTTTAACAAATTACAGTCGACTCAAGAGAGACGTTTTTTCACAAAAGAATTATCTCCATAGTCGAACGTCATTAATCACATCGTGAAATACCGAGTGACCCTTAAGTTTTTTTCACTCTCAAAAATTTCTGGTCTTTAATTCAGCTTTAATATCTAAAATTAAAGGCAAGTGTTCAAAGCGGTGTCGGCCCTGCTCGTTAGATCGCCTCGATGCCTGGAGGAGGAGCACTCATAATAACTGACGCTACTACCACCCCTCCCCCTACCCTCTAAGTTTCGACCCAGTTATTAATAAAACGAAATTTTCACAACTTGTAAGACGTACGAATCCGGGTACCATTTTGAGAATATTGGATGTTAGCATGCGACTATTCCCAAATAAAGGCGTGTTCGTCGTTCTTAAGATATTTTATTTATTTATTTAAGCGAAAATAAACTCCTTCACGCTGGTCACCTGGAAAGCCCTGGGACTTACGCCAGACTATCCAGCCCGTTCGTGCATTGGAAGCTGCTTCGTGGCCCTACCACAGACAAGTGTTTGTCCTTGTTTAATTTGTCGCTGCAAAACAGCTCTATAACACAATCTTTGATTATATACCTGTACTAGTATATAATGAAAGCACACAATTGTCTTATCCAAAACGAAGTTCAAATATTTAGGAAAATATAATATGTATTACTGAGTATGGATAGTGTAGCTGAGAGTTAAATTCTCGTCATGAATGCAAACGCGACTCACGGCCTACGGAATCTCTCGCCCCGGTTACGTTAGGTCATAATTTTAATGATGGCTGTCATTACTGCTACCTTTTTTTTTATTTTGACAGCCGTAATTTATTCCGCTTCAAATTTTGCTATTAATTTATGTACGAAAGTTACGCTGTTCATGAATTTGTTTTATTGTTTTTTTTTTTTTCTTCATTCCTTGAATATTCTCGAGATCTGATTCTGGAACGTATTGTTTTAGAATATTGAATGTAAAAATTGTTTAAGTTGTCATGTCTATGCAGTTCCAGGTCATAAAACAAATGGCGAATATATGAAATTATAAAATAAAGCAAGCATTTGTATCAAGAAAGTGGAACGGTTTTACCATGGTAGAACT